GGCGTATTCGAACATGGCATAGAATGGGTTACTAGCGCAGTTCGGTGACGGGGGGGGGGGGCATTTTGCACTTCATTGCTTCCCTAGTTCCGGTTTACAAGTCTCACTCTGATGAAATCCTGTGAACTCTTGTGAAGCTGGAGCAAGGTCGTCAAGCAATTGTGGTCTGTCTACTTGAGAAAAGGATGTCTAGATAGTCGATGGGAAGTAGCAAGAGTGCAAAATGGCCCTCCTCGTCGCCGAACTGCGCCAGGGTTACTCGTGCGATTTTTCAGTTCAAGACAACTGTCGGTGTTGGACAGAGACACGACCACAATTGCGTAAAAATGAAAATATCACTCAAAAGCACAGCCACCGCCACGTTAGTTGAAGTACGCAGCCACGCCTACCACATCTCAGAGATGTACCTGAAGGTTCTGAAATACCCCTTCCTATATGAATGCACTCATCGAGCAGGAAACCAGCACTCATGCAAGCAAATATAAAATCTCATCATGTGTGCTATCTTCACTTTGATGCTGGTTTTTTAGATTATGGCGATTATAACTGGTATGGTATATTTTCAAACACCAGTTACGGCTGATACAGTGATCTCTATAAACGGCATACTCTTCAACCATGTACGGAATATCAACTTTATGCTGCAGTTTCCTGCCGTTCCGGTAAAGTGTTCACAATTGATTTCTTGCCGTTGGAGAGGGCGTGTGTACATAAGTATACTCTAGTTCGTTGCAGACGAAGAGGCGTGTCAGGCAGTATGAGTGTGCCACGGCGCCAAACCCGTTCTCTGCCAGTTGTTGAAGCGGGTATGCGACAACAATGGTAGAAAACGAGTGATACGAACGACATGATACAGTCTTGTCACTTGCTCGCTTCAACAGCTGGTGGAGAACGGGTTTGGCACCGCGCCAACTCACCCCCCCTCCCTTACACGCCCCTTCCGTCCGCAGTGTACTACGTCTCTGTAGGCCCTTCGTCCGCAGGTGTACTAGACTATAAATAGTTCGTGTGCTAGGTGATGCCTACGTATCCGTGGAATACTGTCGGTTTCAGCACAGTTATTCTTTCTTGTGCCTTCTATGTTCTTGTCTACGTCTCTTTTGTCTTTTTTGTATACCGACAACATTTCACTCACATACGAAGTCCGCGGTCACGCCCTCTCAAATGCCGAAATACTTCATTATGTTCTGGAAGTCATCGTATGAGAGTCGATTTTTTGAGGCAATTACCTACGAGCTGGCGATTGTATTACGTGAGAATTCTAATGGCATCTACCGTACATCGTCATACTTTATTGGGAAGAATCTGGCAGAAGTGGGACTATATCCCTTTTACACTTTCACTATTACAGTCATTACGATGGAGTTTACTAATACTTTTAGCTTACTAAAACCGTGGTCGGGCCCGGGTCAGCAGTTGAACAGAGGACGTTTCCACAAAATAGGAGACTTGCAATTGAGCCTTCCTAGTGCATAACATCCGTAGTCCAAAGCACTCGTAAAGAACTACTGCCCAATACCATCTACCTAGGTTTCTTCCACCTCACACAGCTATTTCAATGCAGTGGTCATCAGTCATCAATCAGATCAATGGTAGAACTCATTAAGCTCATATTCAATATGACTCGTTTCTGCGGGCGTTGCGGTACGATAAATGGGACTAGGTGCAGCGCACTGTCTGAGGGGGCAAATATCTGGCGGTGTTCGGCCCGGCTAATCATTCCGTTTATTCCTCCGGGCTAGGTGAACTGGTACCAATCTCGCCCAGAAGATGAAAACACTTTACATTTCCGATCTTAGAGTTTTATCAATTCGACGAAATGATGTGCTACGATATGCTCATTTAGGCACCAGAATACTTCATTCTACCAACCATCTACAATCTGATTGTATACTGGATGGCCGGTGAGTACCTTCTGACCCAGAATGGCGCTGTTCGGCTAATTGGGTGAAAAGGGGTGGGAGAGTGAGGAAATTTCACTGGCTCTTCTGCCAATTCCACTTTGAACTACGTGCTCTTCCTGATCAAAAGTGCAAATTTTTTGATCATGTGTGGACGCAAGATTCTTATCACGTGTGAACGAAGCTCATGCTGCTGCGTAGCTAACAGGAATTTACAGGTCTCCACAAGAGGCACCGGCATAGAGGAGTCAGTGAAAGGCCCCCAAGAAGCCGAACTTCGTCCCCGTGCTATGTGTTCAAAGAGACTATTCAAAGAGACTGAAATATTCAGGCTTGGTTCCAAACTTATGGACGTTCTTATTTGCCTCGTTCATCTCCTCCCTGATGACGGGAGTCGCCATTTCAATTTGTAAGTACTGTTATCCAGGAATGTAGCATTTGTTCCGTTGCGCGCAAAGTAGCCGCTCACATTACTTGAGTACCGTGATTAAAAATTGCTGGAACTTAAGGGCACGTTCCGCGATCAGGCATAGAATTTCGTCGGGAGTGTAGGTGGTCCATGACGAGCAATCTTGTACCCGTTTCGCGGCAAAAAATCAGAAAGAAGGGGCGCTATAGCGCAATATAGGTTCAGTGACGCCTCCTTTTCTTCCAGTGACTCCGCCTCCAAACTCCGCCTTTCAGTGAAAAACGAAGCTGCAGGACGAAAAAGCATGAAAATCGTCACTTGTACGGTCGTAGAGTTCTTATCGGGAATCAGCTGGGGGGGGGGGTAACGTTGGAAATGGACTTAATTGGGCATGTACAAGCTTGCATCGACATGGGGTTTTTTTAGGATAGTTGGCATGTTTTTTTTCTGCTTTTTCCTC